GACATATGCTTTCCTAACTATCCTCTGAAAAGTATGACTAATGGCACAATTCCTACTGTCATTTTTGATCATTCCACATATAAAACCTTATAGAATTCAAACACCATTATGTATTACTATGGTTATAAATTAAATTATCAACAAACATTAAAGAGAATGATTAAATGTGGTTGATTTTTTAAAACAGAGCTTCTTGAAAATGTACAATAAAAACTCAATTATGTTTACATCTTTTAATATTTAGTCCTAAATTGCATTTAGCTCCACACCGCCTTCAGTCATCTAAGTTATTATCAATTTCAGTCATTTTTTTATGCATGAATGTTTTATGTCGGTATGATCCTTTATTTTAATATTTCATATATTCTGTAAGATGTATTTTCAGGCAACATAAAACAATTATTCGTTCTGTCTTGACTTAGAATGGACTTATTGCCCTAGGGGCATACAACTTAAGATATTCATATCAGTGTCATTTTAATTGTACTTCTTGAGACAAAATAATGGTCTAAGGAATTAATTCATTGGGATGCTAAAAGCAGAGGTGAGAAAGTCCTGAGAATCCCATGGTAGCCCACAAATGCGATTCTTTAACCATCAAAGTTTGTAGATGTGTCTACAAACAGGGACAAAAAAATCAGATGAAGCTTCTTAAAGCTGAGCTCCAGACAAACTGCTAAATACACAGATAAAATCCATATATAGGAGCTGTTTTACCAAGGATTTTTATTTTTGTTCATTCAGTTCTGAGATTTACACTGCTCTGCCAAACAGCACAGTCCTTACTGGAAGGATTTTTTTTCTATTTGCCACAGCTGCAGTGTAAATTCACCTTTGCATCAAAAACACCCTCCTCACCCCCTGGTTTAGACTGCACTGAGCCCCGCTCTTCTCATTCTTTCCTTAGTGATTCTGGGAAAGATCAGCCAGCATGTGAAAAATTTGACAAATCAGAATTGCTTTGATGCGTCTCAGAGGCTATAAGGATTTTCCTTGAATGAGGAGACCTGGAACCATACCTCCCGCTGTCTTACAAACCATGGTGTCCCCATGAGGTGGTTCCCTAACTCTTTATGTGTTTGCCCCAGCAGAGGGCGGTACTTCCTAAAAAAGCCCAGGAAAACCTGGCCAGCAGAGTTAACCCTTACCTCACAAGGAGTACCACCTCAGCAGGGCAAACACAACTAAAGGGCACAATGTTCTAACATAGAAATCATAAACATCAACTGAAAAACAGTAAAACATTCCAATAAACCATAAACACCTGACATCCACCTGCTTACCCCTTGTTCCTCAGTCCCTCTGCAGTGAATGAAGCTGGAAATGATGATGATTTAATCACTTCTGGTTCAAGAGCTGTCATTTTCTGGCTGATACAGCCAGGGATGCAGCTAACAAAGCATATTTTAGGAGGGTAGGGGAAGCATTGGGGTCTATTAGGACCCTAATGTCTCCATAAAGAGCACCTGTCACTTGCCAAATGCTGAAAATCACATGGGGATTTGTTAACCCCTAGTGATACCAATACATTTAAAAAAGTACAAAACAATATAATAAAAACATTTTTTAAAAATTGTGATAGTACGCAGGTGAAATCACCTGGTTGCGTCCTGGATGGACGATACATTTGTCCGAGGTTCAGACTTTATGGGGATTTGTTCCACTAGAGGGAAGTGCTGAGTCCTTCAGCACTGAGGTAATGAGCCCAGCTGAAGGTAGTGGGCTCATTAAGGCTGGTATAAAACTTCCCAGCTTGCTTAGGGAGTTGCTCCAACCTGGAACCAAATCTATGCCTGAACTGACTGGGGAGCAACAGCCTATCTGTGTGCAGGGAGAAAAAAGCCTGTGTGGCTAGCCTCCAACTACCAGCAACTAGGTATAGCATCAGGCTGTACCTAGAGGGTAGCTAGGGAAAGCTGTTGGTACAGTAAGTAGCCAAGTTGGCCAGGATTTATTTGATGTTTCTTTTTGGTTTGACATTTTCTGTACATATTGTAAATAAACTGCACCTTTTTGTTTTTTCACCTCCACTGTTGTTGTGCTGTGCCTGTCTTTTTGTGTTGTGCACCCATCCGGGGGGTCACACACACCCACTGCCGAGCTAATCCATTACAAAATGTATAATAACATTTATTTAAAAAAAAATTAAACAAAACACTCAATGCCCTGCAATCACCCACAAATGCAAACATGCACACAGGGTGTGCACATATATTCAAACTGAGATTGCACCATAGATGTGAAGTAATACAGCAAATGTTGGAGTGAGAGTAATAATTCTAGCATCACAGATCATTGTTAGCTCTAAACTGATAAGCAATAATGGCTTTATAGTGTCACTTTAGATTTGTGGGTACCATGCTTTTTTCCAATATCACTGGTGTAGGCAATTTTAAGACTTGATATGTTTGGTATCTATTTACTCAAGGCAACTCCATCTTTTATATTTTTCCAAATTGGGTATTATGTTGTGTTTGTATGCCTTAAAAATAAAATTTTTAAAAAATATGCATTGCATAAATGGTTGCACAAATTTTGTGCAATGTGAAAAATGGCAGCTGCTATCTCTTTATTCCTCAAGGCCTCTGCTTTAAGAAAGTAAATAATATTCTGCATTTTTTGAAGCTAAACTGTAGATTTTTACATGTGGACAAAAAATTTAAATAAAAATGCTCTGAAGCAGAAGCAGTTAAAGGAACTCTGTTTTTATTCATTAATAACTAATGGTCTCAGATTGTACAACCTATGTATTAGATCATTATGTGGATCAGTATGAAATGCCCTGCTGAAATCAAGATATGCTATGTCCACAGCACCACCCCGGTCTAAAACATTGGTAATATGCAGTATATATATATATATATATATATATATATCATATTATACAGTGGAGTTCCATAACACTATAAGAGACTCTATTGGGGCTTTTTTTTATGCTAATATTGCATTATTGTTGCACTACACTGTATTTATTTGTTTTATACACCTATATGTCCCATGCAGCCAGGTGGTAGTGTCAAGCATGAAAGGAAAGATAAAACAAGGCATAAAATATGACAGAAAAGATGACACAAACAGTAGCAGCAGTTATACAGCCTTAGACGTCAGAAATAAAGATTTCCCAGTCCACGGGTGGGGAGGGTCCCAATGGAGTCCATTCATCAAATGAGTTAAAAGAATAACTAGTCCCCTGGGATCAGATCATAAAAGTGTAATTGCCCATCCATATATGGGGAATGGGGGGGGGGGGGGGGGGGGGCATCATCCTTGTTCTGGATACAACGGTAAAATGGAAATGCTCTATCCAAAATGAAAAATAAAGGTTTGGCTTCAGGCATACATTAACCTCGTCAAGATTAGTCATTCTTTTTGCCCTGTGGCTTCACATTAAAGGATTCTTTCAGTTGGCATTGGCTGATTTCAGACTAGAAGTAGAACCTCAAACTGGCTCTAGTCTCGTTTTCCTTTGAAGCTGCCCTCGGTAATACATGAGAAACTTTCCACTGGTGATGGCAGCATCAGATGCCAGTGTTTGGCTGTAGCTTTTTCTTTTATGTGACGCCAACTTGAAAGCTCATCTGTATTAATCCTACAGCTGGGAAATGTTCTGTGTATTTATGCGATAATAGCAAAATAACAGACATCCAGTTCCCTGTTTGCTCAAGCTTCTAACGGCCTCTTTTATCAAGGTGTTAGTGCCAAGAACTATTGTTACTTTCACACAGAAAGTAAAACTCTAGAAGTTCAGATACTTTTCAGACTGAACTGAATTGAGCTCTACACCAGTAAGCCCTCACCTGTCTTAGTTCAACAGATTGCCCAAGCCCCTTATACTGTAGGTCAAAATGGTGGAGTCAGATTTCGGCTACAGCTTGAGCTCTATGACCAAGTCCCTTATGGTATTAAACATGTAAAGGGGAGGAATCAGATAAAGGTTGCATCATCTGTTGCAAGAAATTTTCATACATTCAGGGCTGGGACAAAGGGGGCAGAAGGCGCATGTGCCCTGGCGCAGTGTTGCTATGTAGAGGGAGGCACACTTGGAGCTTCAACTGCTCCTTTCTCCTGCATCTGATGCATTTAAAGATTAAATATGTACGACTGGAACATACAATTTATCTAATAAATGTATAAGAATGTATACATTTTCCCACCACTCTCTCCACAGTATTGTATCCAGATGTAAAGATAAATACTTTGCAAAGTACAAGAGATCTTATATACGTACATTCACAACACAGCTTAGTCTCAATATTGAACATTAGCTACATTGATATTACCTTTTTCCTAAATTAAATACTTCACTTCTTCTCCGTATTTAATTTCTTTATTTGCTATAAAACATAGTAGTGAACTAATTCAGATTCCAGTTTAAGTTATTTTGTACCCCACAAATGAAAAACACTCTAAATTAAAGTCTATAGCATAAATACTAGAAGCAGGTTATGAAAATTCCTTTATTGCCCACACATGGGCAGATCTGCACTAGGTTTGGAAATATATAACAAGTTATTAGCCCTTGTAATGGAAAAGGTTGATTCCTTTCCCTTTTGAGAAAACATCCATATCAATAAAAATAGAGCTGAAAAAGTTTCACTCACCAGTGAGCCTAGTCCATGCCAGATATGCCTTTCATTAAACACAACAGAAAAAGTTCACATCAGTCAGTAGCCCTCACAGGGGTTTCTACCATCAATGAAACAATACAGCAACATTCAACCTCTTGGCTCTCTTTAGCAGCACTGCTGCTCGGGACTAATGCCTTGGTCCTCTCGACCATCTACCACAACATCCCTGTAGTCATGCAAAAATGCTGTACCTCCGTCAGCTCTCTTTTATTTCCAGCTCCCTGCTGCTCCGACCCTCCAACTTGGGCCACTATCTTTCTTGTCCCAGACAACATACTAGTTAAATCGCTGTCCACCAGGTCCACATATATTAGGCTTCATGCCTGATAAATTGACAAGCCCATATTGGCATCAAGCATCTTCCTTAAGGGCAGGGGCGGACTGAGCATTGGGGAACTCAGGCACTGCCCGAGGGCCCGGGGTCAGTAGGGGACCCCATGAGATGTCCCTGGTACCTTTCATAGGCTTTTTTGGGTGTGGTTTGAGTGTGGGCGAGGACACAGGGGCCCCATGATCCCCTATTGCCCGGGGGCCCCATGAGTTGTCAGTCCGCCCCTGCTTAAGGGTGATTTGATTCAGGGCTTGGAAACAACATATTCTACACTTTTGACACCACAGAGAATAATTAGATTCTTCTGGAAGAGGAGAATGCTATGGCATTCAAGGATGGAGGGGGTTGTGCTAGACAATTAGCACTCCTGGAATAGTCAAATTTTATGGCACATTCAAAGGCACATTGCAAGTGAATAAAAAAATATTTATGGAAAGTGAAAATACTACAAGTAAGCATTTTAAATACTTGGGGTTTTTTTTTTTTTTACCTGCTTTTATCTGCATTTTTTAAAGTTGGTATCAGGGTCTTTTTATCATGCTTTATCAGAAGAATTGCAGTATCTAGGGAGGACAATAACTTGTGTATGGCAATAACTCAGCTACTTGCCCTATCTAGAAAATGTATTGCCTACCTGATTTCTTTGAATGGTTCAGTTATATAATCCACACTATGAAACTTCAGAAGTGTACCTACCAACACAGAGGCACCACACAAAAATAAAAAAAAAACCTGGGGACGGAGGTCACGTTTGCTGGGTCTTGCTTTGCCTATGAATATGGAATGCTTGCCTTAACCTGTTACGTACATGCCATGCATACAAGTTACTCCTACATGCAGCCTGGGAAGGGACCACTCTTCATTTGAACACTTTTGGCTAGTTATTTAAAGGATCAAGTGACAACCAATGTCATTGGTAACTTAGCCATTTGGGAAAGTGTATCCTTGTTCTATTTGGAGAATCGTTTATTCTTCCATCTATTCATAAGCTATAATATTTTGTGCAATTAGCATGTGATGGCTGTTTTTTTTTTTAGTTTAAATGAAGGTGGAGGTGGGATGTTGAAGTTGGTGTGTTGTATGTGTTTAGGTTTTGCATACAAGCTTGGAAAATTATATAAAGTATTGATTGAATACAATAGCATGTCATAATAAGGGTCAAAAAGTTCTACAAACGAAAACAATTCTTAAAGTGTTACTAAACCGACAACAGTAAAACCGGTCTGTATATGCAGTAAAGCGTGTTTTTTTATACTCACTGTGGAACCTAAGGGGTTAATCCTCTGTATTGTGTAAAATGGCCTTTTGATCATGACTTCTCTTCTCCTCCTCTTGTTCAAATGTCCACATCTTATCTCCTGATAAGACAGACTGAACCGTAGCCATTCTACACATGCTCTGTTTAGTGTGTATTGCTAGAGAGGTGTGTTTTTTTTTTCTTGATAGAGGGCATGTGATTAGCACAGGGCCAATCAGCACTGTGCAGACAGAGGTCAGGGGTTTTGCATCCTCCTAGAGCAGAATGAAAATTCCTCCTATAAACTTTAACCAGTGATCTGCTGAACACTGATAGAAGTCACAAGACTGCTCTAACTGCTGATGAGAAAAGGTATTTAGCAGTTTATATGTACTAAAATAATTGCATTTCCGTGTTCTTTGTACTGTGGGAGACAAGATATAGTGAATGCAGGGTCCTGGGTTTAGTAACACTTTAATTCTTGAATCCATTTTGTCTATATTACTTTATGGAGTTGATTTACTGCAAAATCTGGTGCAGCTCTGCACAGAAACCAACCAGCTTCCAGGTTTTATTGTCAAATCTTAACTGAACAAGCTGAAGTTAGAAGCTGATTGTCTACCATGCACAACTGCATCAGATTCTGAGTGCACCAGTTTTAGTAAATCTCTCCCTATGAGTTTTCAACAGAGAATGGCAGGTAAAATAATTTATGGAAAAAAAAAATCCTTGTAATGTGTAGCCTCCCGAGAGGTCTGATTATGTCCATATTTCTGTGCTCAAAGCGGTACATTTTTTTGCATGGAAATATGTATTTTTTTTATTGTAGGCCTGTAATTTTTAGGAATAACTCACTGAAATCTGTCCGAACAAGAGTCTAGTAAACATCCCGGGGATGTTAAAATTTGAAACACGAAATCATAAATTATAATTTAATAAATAATCATAAAAAATAATAATAATAATAATAAATTAAATTTAATTCAATAATATAATCAAACCAAAAACACTGAAATTTGAAATATAGCGCCAAGTTCGTACATCACTGAGCAAAGTCGCAAAATCGTTTTCAGTGTCTGATGACAAATTTCCCCCACGAATCATTATCACTCAATTTTGCAAGTGGTTCTAATTTACTATCGCTGTTCTCTAGCTGGTCTAAAACCGCTTTTGACCTAAAGGGACGCTTTTTGGACGCCATGGACGTTTCTCAGTTTCCAGGCAGAAAGAACAGTAAAAATGAAGGCAGGGCACAGGACAAAGCACTCGGGACAAAATGTATATGAAATGGTTTGATACAGTAATGTTTTACTATGTGATTTTAGTGAATTTAGTGAATGTCACTTTTAAAATGTTCAAATTTCCCACCAGTTCCGTCCCCGTACGTCCTGACATTGCAGGGAACGGAACCCGGAAGACAGATGCTGGCATCGGCCTGAGGACATTGCCAGTGACACTGCAGGAGGGACATTGCGGGAGCGCAGGACAAGGTAAGTGCAAAAGGGATCCTGGAGCAACGCTGCAAGATATTCCCGAGTGTATGTCGGGGTTACCGCTTGTCGTGCTGAAACTTTACCCCGAGCTACACTCGGGAATACCTCCAGGGAGGTTAAATAACTATTTAGGTTTTTGGGCAAGTGGTAAATATTTTTATATTACAAAATATACATTTCAGCCCAAAATACAAAAAAATGAATACAGTTTGGAAACGTTTTATGACATTATGGGGGAGATTTATTAAAACTGGTGCATTCAGAATCTAGTACAGCTGTGCATGGTAGCCAATCAACTTCTAACTCCAGATTGTTTAATTAAGCTTTGACAATAAAACTTGGAGGCTGACTGGTTTCTATTCAGAGCTGCACCAGATTTTACACTCTCCAGTTTTAGTAAATAACTCCCTAAATGTTTCTTCTCTTGTTACCAGCTCCCCATGATATCACCACAATAAGCAGTAACAATTACTTGGTAAGCTAACCCCCTATGGCTACGTGCCATCGCACGAAACGCGCCAGGGAGGGGCTATAGCGGTGTGATGTCACGCCGACTGGCGCCACGAGGGCCCCGGTGGCCATCTTATGCATTCATATGGTCAGTACCTCTCCTGGCTTTTATTGTATTTTAGTGTACATTTACGTGGAATAAAATACTCCTAAGGATACTACATTATTTGGCCTCCTCTGTTCTTTGAGTAGCCTCCTTTGGGAGGCATCTACATTCACAGAGCAGCTTTTCGCAGTGTGGTAACACTTCTAAGCAGTGAGGGGTACCTGACCAGATCTGACCAGACCCACATAGGATCCTTGATGTCCTGTGGCTACCAACTTTTATGCGCATTGTGATTGCGTATCTGGTGAGTGCGCAATCTTTACATACTATATCACCTCATTCACGGATCCTAGCCACTGGATTTTTGAAGATCGTTTGGGATCTCATCTGCACTTGCACTATGGACTGTTTTTGTTTTAGTGCACAACACTCATTTGTCACTATTCAGTGACTTTTTTATCTGCACTTTGTCACTTCATTTATGTTATTTATTGTATGTGATTTATTATATTGCATTTATACATGAATTTTACTTATTAAGACTTAGCTAATCATTTTAGCGCTGCACCCTATTTTGTTTGAGTAACAATCACTTATCCATGAAATGTTTGATATGTCTTTTTTATTTTTTATTTTTTATCTTTTCCTAACAAGAAGTCTAAAGCATGAGTCAACTATTCTTTCAACTTGGACAATTCCTTTAAGAAAAATAGCAAACAGTATCTATTTTAATTAAAAATATAATTTTCAACCCAAATATATTAATGTATTATTAAAAATATTATTACATTACAACAGCTTCTTGTGATTTGATTAACCTTATCATTGTTACAGGAGATCATTTTCTGCTACGTCATATAGCTTCCTGACAAAATTCAAACCTATCTAATGTAGATTATTGATCATACAACCCCACCATATTTTATTTAGTTTCTGTACATATTGGTTTGGCCTTCTATTTGTCTTACTGTTCATTGCATCTCATGATAAATGTTCAATTTCCTCATAATACATATTGATAATTCCATTAAACCCACATGGCTTGCATGGTGATTTACATGCATAATTTTGAAAATGCCATGGAGGCCATTAGATTAAAATTTATGATGGATGAAGCATCGTGTAAAAAAATGAAGCTGACGTTTTCAAAATTGGTATGTAAACAGTTAATATCACAATATTGTGTGATGCACCATGAATCTTAAACAAATTACATTTTTAACATAAACTGCTTGTTTTCACTTTTTCTTTTTATCTTTGTTAAATTTCAGTGTTGACAATATCCTACAGACTCTTCTTCATTGTTGATGACATAGGAATATGCCTGCATTTCATGCGGACCCTAAACAAGAACCTCTGTCCAAAATGGGGTGGTAAACACAAAACTCTGGGATTTTGCAGGTGAATGATCTCTCAGAAAATTCACCATCAGTACTTCATCATGAAAGCTAAAGACTCTGGTTGGTAATGTTGAACACATACAAATCAGTTATAAAAGACAACAACATTAAGGTGTCAAAAGAGCACATACACAGAACCACAAAAATGTGTGTGGGCCCAAACACAGATTCCTTCTACATAAGATGCATACATCTACCTAAGAATAGGTCATAACTTGGATAGTGTATATCATATACATATACAGAAGATTACAGAAGAAGGTAAGTATCAGTCTGTAGAATTGTGGTAGAGTTTCAAGTATCTTGACAAAAAATTCTTCTTCAAGAAAGGGCTTTCTGAAGACATACTACTTTGGAACACAGATTCCTTCTACATAAGATGCATACATCTGCCTAGGAATAGGTCATAACTTGGATAGTGTATATCATATACATATACAGACGATTACAGAAGAAGGTAAGTATCAGTCTGTAGAATTGTGGTAGAGTTACAAGTATCTTGACATTTTTCCCAAAAATTCTTCTTCAGGAAAGGGCTTTCTGAAGACATACTACTTTGGAGCTATGTTCCCCAAGAAAAAAAAGATTTTATTGGCATAACACGAGGCAACTTCATAAAATCACAAATTTATTTCCACATAGTTAAAAATAAAAAATTATAAAATCAAAGCAACACCATCTAAATGAATATGTCTGAGATAACAAACACCCAACCCTGAGATGGACTACTGCAATTAGGCATACATATATCATATACCACACACTTCATGATTGTGTTAATTAATTGTTGTAACATAAATAGACTCATTGGATAG